TTCCCAATTGGCCACTGAAAATGAATTTAGTCTCCAGTCGGAGATGAGAGCACCTGGGGGTGGGACTCCGCAAAGCGGGGTCCCGGGATCTCAGGTGCTGGAGCTCCCCATTGTCTGCGCGGGGGCGGGGCAGGCCGGGTGAGCCGAGGGTGCAGGACGGTGAGGACCGGCTGGGGCGAGAGATGTCACCGAAGGCAACCCCGGGGTTTCAGCTGATTGACCCGAGGCGCGAGAAATGGCAGCGGCACCAGAGGCGGCCGCCCCGGCTGCAAATCGCCGTCGTGTGGTTGCTACTGGCAACCGAGAGTCTGCCGCGCGCGCAGCCCGGAGCCCGGAACGAGGGCGGCGGCGAGGAGGAGCTGGCGCCGCCCGGCCGCCCACAGGGCTTCGCTCCCGCCCGGCCGGCCGGCCTTTCGGGCTGGGCCATGGCCGTGAGGCGCGAAGGGCCACAGGGCTCTCGGGCCGGGAGCGTCGCGGACTCGGAGGCGTCGACATCCAGGCGTCCTCGGTGAAGACAACATGGCAGCTCGGGCTCGAAGCCCAGGGTCGTGGCGTCCGCGTGGCGGCGGGGGCCGTGGGTCTCCAGCCCGGACTCGGCGCCCCGAGCCCCCACCCTGCGCCCGCCGAGACGTCGCCCCGCGGCCCTTTGTTCTCCGCGCGGCCACCTCAGGCTTTGGGGCCGCCCAAGGCAGCCCGCCGCGGGGCCGCCGGGCTCTTGGCAGCCTCCCTGGAGCGACCGCAGCTCCGAGAGCCCGGCTGCGGGCGCGTGCGGAAGCGCTGCCTGCACCCCGCGGAGCCGCATCCCGGGCTCGGCGCCGTCCCCACGCCGCCGCTCCCCCGCCACAGCCGAGGGCGACACGCGGGCGAGGTGCCGCCTGTCACGGCCTCGGGGAGATGAGAATCTGCGCGGGGAGGGGAGAGCCGGGTCCCAGAAAAACGGAGCGCAGAGCCCCCCTCTGGGTCGGCGCCGGGCTCCACTCGGTTCGCTTTGGTCCCCAGGAAAGGCCCCCCTGCCAGGCCAGGTCGCACCAGCGAGGCTCGATGCCCCCAGGGGAGGCAGGCTGGCGGGAAATTTGCATCTGGTGAAACAGCGGCTTGAAAAAATGGCTCTGCCACGTAGGCCAGCCAGTGTTGACGCTCGGCACCACGCGCTACAGAAATACCGAAATCTGCCACCAAATGGCGGCGAGGCAGCCTGCTGCGCTGATACAGCACTCGCCGGCGTCGCCCATTTTAGGCTGCTTTCACTTCTCCGCGTTGCCCGACCTTTTCCCCAGTCGTCCCTTCCTCGCCCCGTTTTGGGGCGCACGTGGGACCCGGTGGACTTGACAGGCGGACTCTGCAGGAAGCCGGCTGCATCCCGCAGCGTTTGGAGGCGACGTCCCCGCCTCGCGCCTGCCCGCGGCTTCCCGGGTCCGGGCCCCGCGCAGGCGCCGCCTCGGGCCCCGAGGTGTGACATTTCGGCCGGGTCTGGAGGCTCCTGCCCGCGAGACCGCTCCCGCCGGCCGCTGCACCCCGACAAGCCCAGGGGCTAACAAGCGCCCTCGGCCGGCCTGCCCTTCCCAGGCGCCTCCACAGTCCCCCTCGGCAGCCTCGTACTAAAATGTGTGTTTAAGATTCACCCCCAGAGCCCACACTCCGAGGGCACTCCGTTCTCGGAGAAGGGGCGCTGGGGGGAGGCGGGGACAGAGACGCGATCGCGGCACGGCGGCCGCAGACACGCGCGTCCGTACTCCGCCGGCGAGGCCCCGCCGTCCCGGGCGCGGGTCGACCTCCGGCCCGGGTGAGCTCGGCGGCAGGGCTCCTCCGTGCGGCGTGGACGGCTGCGGCGCGGAGGGGCGCACTCGGAGGGCGGCGCGGACCCCGGCTGTTGCCGCTGCCGCCCATGGCGTCCTACTTTGGAGGACTCGGTGGCTCCCCGGCCTCCCGAGCCCGCCAGGGCCTGACAATCTCGCTTTTAAATTTGGCGGGATCGGCGCGGCCGGGTGCAGGCTGCGCGAGGCGAGCGGCGCACGCGCAAAATGGCCTCCCGGCCGGCGGCACCCAACTCGCGCTCGCGCAAGGCCGAGCATCCCTGCGGCTCGGAGGGGAGGTCGGCGCTGGGGCTCCTTCTGCCTCTCGAAGAGCTCCTGGTCTGAAAACAAAGAAAGGGAGAAGGGCATTTCTTCTCTAACGTGCCCTTTGCGTAAAGGCCCGCCGGCCTTGTGAGAGAAGCAAGGTGGTTTGCTCCAGGAAGGCGTCCTGCGCCCTTTCCACCCGGCACTGCAACCTACAAACCTTTCTTTTGGGGGCAGAGGCAGCACCACAGCCCCTGCACTCATACTCTAGCCACTTAGTCCTGGGCTTTATCCGCAGTTCCGCGCTGTAGTCTTCTTCGTTGGTGTATCTCCCACTTTCGGGCATTTAGACCTTAGGCTACATCTTGCACAGGCTCCTCCAACTACAATAACGTCGATCCGTTTCTGCAACGTCCTCATTCCTTCCATTCTCATGTTTGACGCGTTTCCCGAGTACGCTGGTTAGTAACCTCCCCGGTAAATTTGTTCTGGCACCCTGGGACCTAGCTGATTTTGGAGGGCAGAATTGGAGATCTCAGAATCATCGCCACGCACCTTGAAATCACGTTCCCTGAGAAGTTGGCATCTTACAATAACCCAGGAAGCAGAGCAACAAAGAATATTTTAACTTAAATGTAGATGACTCAAGGGACAACAAACAACACTTGCTGTTTTTTGTACCTTATTTCTGCATAATCTTTGTGAAATATTTTTAAGCCAAGAATCAGATAAATGAAACAAATTTAAGTCATCCTTTGTGAATTTTTATTGAGGGTTTAGTATTCAGAGGTCTAAATAACATTGGAGGTGAATTATCCCCCTAAACTTCTTCGGAAAAACAAAGATCTACAAAGAGTACCCCTCTGGTGATAAAGTACGATGTCTCGACTTGCTGGAGTTGGTAAAAGCCCCCTGGCCTGGAAGGCAGCGCTGTGAGAGAGGCGAGGAGGTTTCCTCCAGGCAGGCGTCCTGCGCCTTTTCCAACCGGCACAGCAACCTAGAAACTTTTCTTGGGGGGCGGGGGTGATAGTGAAGTTCTTCATGTGAGACTTTTAGAAATTGCTCACTAAGAAAAAGAAACTGGTGCAAATAAAGGAAATCCGTTTCAAGAAGCAAAAGAAGAAAAACGTTAAAAAAAATTAACTGCGGAAACAGGAAACACTCGACTGTGTAAACATTTTCAGACTTTCATAATCAAAACGGGGATCTTAAGATTTACAGAGCGAGATCAGATCGGCTGGCTCAAAGTCTTTGGCGGGGCTATTTCCCAAGTTTGATTCATCAGGAGTCTGGAATGTGTGAAACTTTCTTTGTCCTCTTTCTTTCGTCCCAGTTCAGTCCAATTATTATCATTATTATTATTAATTTTTTTTGGTTAGAATTTTTTGAGGGAGTTTAGAATAATCAACCTGTTGTGTTCAGTTTACAAATGAAGAACATCTTCAAGTGAAATCACGCATCTAACCCTAGAACTTTATATTAAAGGTGGGTTCTCTGCTCTGCAATTTAGGTTATTTTAAGGACAGATACGGTTTTAGACAAAGGTTTAATTAGCATTCTGTTAAAAGATGTATAGACTTAAGATGATAAAAGTCTGATCATTTTTCAATGTAATTTGATCTTGTTCAAAATGCATGGGGAAAACAACTGTTTCTAAAATACGTTAAGAGCCTCTATTTCATGTAGGAACTAAACTAAATCAGAATTTCCAACTGTCATTCCTGGTGCAATGGGGAGAAAAAGATATGAGACATTTATTAAACGTGTAAAGTATAAAGAGAAATACGGAGGGAGCCCTTTCTTTATTCCAGGATTCTAAAAGAGACTGGGCTCCAGTGCAGATTGTTTCTAAAATCCCGCCCTCCCACAGGTTGTAAGTTACCTAAAAAGATCAAACGTCTTCATTTCTTGGTCAGTGCAAGTAGCTTTTCACACAGGTATTTAAGTTCTTATCAAGATTGCATAACAAAAGTATCTGATAGGCCTTAGGATGAGTGTAATCAAGATTTTACAAGTGAAGTCTTCCAAACACTGTACAGTATTGGGGGAAGAGGAAAGGATGAAAGGAGAGTTCTACCAGTTTACTTTCTCAGTTGTTTTACTTCCACAGATCCTAACGTACGGATATGGAAACCAAGCAATGTAGTTGACTGATTAGTCAACTACAGGGCAACTTTCTTTTTTCAACTGTGCAATTAACGGCCGGCAATTTAAAAAGCAAAAAGTACTTGTAAAGTGCTATGCATGTGTAAAACAAGATAGATCACTATTTACACAACAGCAACCAGTCTCATTTTTCTTTTTGCATTTAAGCTAAAAACCTGTGAAATCAATTTAGGCACCTTCCGTAGAATATTTTAACACTACCTCTGTGTTTCTGGATCCTAGAACATTTTAGAAGAAAAGTCAAACCTTCAAGCTGACTTTTAAAGGAACCTATTTTGGTAAAAACTATGACCTTTGAAGGAGGTTTTCATGAGGTTTATTTTAAGGTGGTAATTTAGCAGGTTTTAAATCCTAACTGTTAGAACTGTAGTGACTACTAAGAAAGTAAACCATAATAATTTTTGTTTTATTTTTCAAAGGAAGTCTTAGCTATTTTCAAATTGAGTATGAGTAAAAATAAATGGAAATGTTAAGTATGGTGAAACAGTGCTAAGTAAACTAGAAACGCATGCTAGTTTAATAAGATATTTCAAAAATAAGTCCATTATAAAGAGGGTGAAATGTCAAGGTTTTGAGTTCCACATCAGTCTTATAACTTGGGTCTGTGTCAGTCAAATGACTGCATTTAGTCTTTTTGCCTTTGAAAAGTATTTTCATTCTTTACCCAATGATCATCCAAAATGAAAGTATCATTTGAAACATGCACTAACTTTTCTTTGTCCTAGATAACATCATGGAAAACTTAAGCTTAGAAAAATGAGTTAAATTCACCCAAACTGGCAAACATTGGTAACTTTTACTTCAAAGATTGTAAATAAACAGATACATCTTTCAATGGGCTCTCAAGCAATTTACAACAAAGCATGTATTTCTTAGTAACATCACTATTTAAGACAGCAATGTATTCTCTTCAGATTTTACCTGTTGTAATCCACTACCGGGGTTTCCAAAACTTCCGCACATTGTGCTTTTCATATCAAATTTTTATTAAAGATCTTAGCTATTTTCTAAATGAATATCCTTTTTATTGGATTTTTTCCCAATTACAAATGAAATTTCATATTACATCTATAATTAGAAACAACACTTACACTGGGACTGTACAAATTTAGGTCAAAATAAAAATATATGTATTTTGTGGTTTCATAAAACATTTACTCAATCTTTTAAAGAAAGCGAAAGTAACAGCAATATATGCAAAAGTGATGATTTAATGACTATAAGCAAGAAAAAGCAATAGAATTGTGCTTCTTTTGCAGACTGGGGACAATGAAATGTTTAGCTACAATTTCCCATACAAACATGAAACAATATTCATATAGAATAAACACCCTCACAAATAACTGATGGGTGATGAACACACACCACGTTCGACCAAAGCAAAACACAAACTGAGAATTGTTGGGGTTATTCGTATTTAAAGTTAACATACTTGCTGTATTTAAAAATTCCTGTAGAAGCTCATGATATATTGCTTCTATTTCTAGACATTACAAAGAAGGCATATTCCATTAACTGGTTTTTTTTGTTGTTGTTGTTGTTTTTTGTTTTTTGAGACAGGGTCTTGCTATGGAATTCAGGCTGGCCTCGAACTCCTGGCAATCCTCCTGCCACAGCCTCCCAAGAGCTAGGATTACAGAACCAGTTCTATTAACTGTTAAAACAACTCTTAAATTTGAAATTATTATACCACATATTAAAATAACTTTAGAGAAAATGCCTTCTTTCAGCAATTAGCTGTTTCACTTAAAAATTTTAGAATTACAGTGAGAAATAGGCATTTAAAAACACATTAATTCCATTATAACCAATGAAAAATTAAGACATTATTTCCATATTCCTTATAAAGTGTTTCTTTACTGCAACAATTACTTTTAAAAGTAAACATGTACTACTGGAGAAAAGTCAGTATGATGATTATTTGCCAATTGCTTCCAATGGAGCAGAATTTCGAATTATATTATCCATATTAAAAATATTCTATGCTGGTAAGCCACCCTCAATATAGGTATCTATATGGGTATCTGCAAAGGTCGAACCAGTTGGGAGAATTTTAACAACCATTTCTGAATTCATGAAACACAGTATTTTCTTTATAGTATTTATAAATATATCATACAATACTGTTTCCTGTTATGTCATATACCAATATGGCATTGTACAACAAGCATAATGCCATCAGATTCTTACAAAAGCGAATCATTTAAACAAGTCAGTAAAATAAACGGTAGTACCCGCTTTTAGGCATACAGATTGTAAAACTGAAGTTTACTTTCCTTTGATCGGTTTTGCGTAGCAACAAAGAAATAAAAATCAAACAGGAATCAAAATGGCTAAATATGCAAGAAATCGTTATTCACAGTGACATGGCTACATAGAATGCATTATATTCTATGTTTATTCTTTCCATCTGTTGAATTTCAAGATAAAAAGCACTTGTTTTCTACAGGATCACAAAACAGCATGATAACAAGAACAATCAAGAAGAATGTAATGTAGGCATTAGTCGAGATTAACAAACTATGGCCCAATGCTTCTATCCACTGCAGAGTATTTCCAAATCCAAACAAAGGTTACAGAAACCATTTTACATCTTTCCTAACACAGTAAAAAAATCTTGCCTGCCTTCCCAGAACCCAATTCTTCATAGGAACAATCTTTCTTTTCAATTAATGTCCATATGAGTATCACATCTAGTCCACCTTTTTACAGCCAAATTTAATGTCACTACAAAAGAAAGCAAACTGGACAATAGTCACATGTATTAGCATCTATAAAGCTGTAATGGCATGAAGATATCTATATAAATCAGGAGTTTAAAATTTTTTTCTTAACAGTCTCAGGAATCAACCAGATGATGTTGCTGACGACCCATTTACTGATGATTTTCGAGGTCTATTGGCAAAGGAGGATTGGTGGTTACCGCTGGGGCTGTTGCTGGTTCCATTCATGGTACTGGAAATGTGAGGAAACTGTGGATGAGGAGACTGCACTGGAGTACTGGGGCTGGGCAAACAAGAAGAGGTGGAGGGGATACCTCCTGCTGGGCTGTTGGCCTTGTCACTCCCAGAGTCACTTTCCAGTTCTCCAGCATTTGTCAGTCCATCTCTCTGGTGACTGATCTTCATTCTCTTACAAGTAGGTCGAACTCTGTATTTCAAAGGAAGTGGACCATTCTGAAAAGTTAAACGGGGGGGAAAAAAAAATCACTCTTAAATCTTTCTATGTCCTTAACTACCATAACTGAAGAGTAGATATGCAACTTACCCTTCTCCAGGTATAAATGTAGGCAATGTCCATTAGTGTATAGTAATCCTTTAAAGGTTCCTCTTCATACATGACATCGATCTATTGAAAAATATTTCAATCATTAAGTAACACAATGACAAAGGTAAATCTACTATTTTTGTTATATAAAAATCCCCATGGTGCTTTAGAAAACATTTTCTCCAAACATTTGGACAAAGAATCCTCCTTGAAACTTCAAATGAGGAAAAACAGTTCTAAAAATTATCAAGAGATCTGTTACATATCTTAAAAGGCAATTTATCCCAAGTAAGAGATATCTTTCAACTTTAGCACTAAATTTAAATTTTTTCCTATTTCATTTTCGGGTTCATAATCCAAAAACATAATTTTAAAAAAAATTTACATAAATATAGAAAGACTATAAAATAGATACCTGGAAAGTATTAGGTATGTCCATTTTACTTCTGAGAAACTTTCTTAAGTGCATCACAGTCATTGCTGCTGGGCATCGTAAATACCTTTTATCATTCACCTGAGAAAACATTTACAGAAGTGATTTTTTCAGCTTCCTTTCAGAAAACTTTTCAACTGAATCGTCTAAAAATGATAAAGGGTACTAATACCAAAACTAGATGTAACTAAACTGTCAGGTATACTTTGAACTTAATATTATACTCAACAAATTAGTATAATAAGCAAAGGAGGATGTTAAATATGATAAGCATATTAAGAAAATAAGTACATTAAACATGAACTATGTAAAATATTTGGAAGAATAACCACATATGAAAAATAAATTCTGAGTATTAAATAGCACACAGATTACTTTTAAACTCAAACATACTATTTTCCTGTATTTAACAGCATCATCTACCCCTAGAATATTTACTTGAAAGGTCAACATCACCCCTCATAAAATCCAGAACCCAAAGATTTTTCTCTTTGTATTTTTGTAACAGAGAACAGTACCTCCTCCTTAGTCTTCTCTTTGTCTTTGTTTACTTTCCGATCCAATCTAAGAAACAGAAAAATTATTAGTGAAACAATGTATCTAATAAACACATTATTATAAAATAGATTTTCCAGATAATTTACCTGTTCTGGTCAAAGAATTCAATGGATAAGCTTATTATCTCATCATCAGTTATAATTCTCTTCTCTTCATCTGCAACTTCTCCTCTATCTTCGTTAGAGCCATTGGCAGCTATAAAGACATTTGAAATCTAATTTTTAAAAATTAAAGTTTTAATTAAAATATTTTACACACAGGAGAATGGGAGGGGTACTTCAGAGTAAATTCAATTGTAACGAAGTTTAAGTACTGGATAATTTTCCCTCCAAAGAAAATATCTTATGCCCCCTAAAAAGTTTACCATCAGCTGAAGGATGAGCTGCATAAAAATCCCTTCTTCTCTTCATTTCATCTGAAGGAGGGAAAAAGATTTAAATGTTTGGTGTGGCAGGTAAAATCAATGCATACTCTCATACCAATTCACTTAAGCAAGTTACTCACTTTTGAAAAGCCCTGGAACTAATTTGTATACAATATCTTGAAGTGTTTTATCTGACCTGAAAAAGAATAAATTAGAAGAGCAAACCACTAATTAATATGGCAAAAATTAAAATATTCATTAATTTTTATATTCTTAGTTTTACTTGATCATGATGGTGTCTACACTAAAATAACAATTATGAAAATAAAAGTTCTCTATGCAGTACTTTTAAATCAGAAGAAATATTTTTATATTCATTACTAATTTCACATTTGATTGAAGTGTGCCTTTCAAGTTACTAAATTCATTAATATAGAGTATGGAAGTACTTTTTAAACATTTATCTATCATGAAGTCAATAGAACAATGCAGAAAAGGAGAACTAATTTAGTTTTTAAAGGACTATTAGAAAAAACACTTAAAAATCACTGGAATGATAATGAACTTTGTCTAAAATTGTTCACCATTAAAATAGCAAGAAATTCACAAAATCACCAGTTAGAGATTCAAGAATAAATTGTCTGTGAAGACAAAGAAGGACTGCCTTCCCTATACGTAAATTATGCAACTTCTGTAACAAATACAAACAAAGAATTTAAACATTCTCCTACCTTATATTCAGTAGTGGTCTGGTTTTATGAACTTGGACATCACAGATAGGACAATACTTGCTGGTCTCCAGGTAACGCACAATACATGTTTTACAGACTAGAAGTGGGAACATGTAAAATTTTTGTAAGTTTAAGTTAGAGCTTAAACTCCAAAGCATTAAAATTAAGTGTCAGAAATTGAGAATTGGTAGAAACAAGATGGTAAATGCCAAAAGGTACTTCCAAGGAAATAATCGAAATCAATCACTGTCCTGAGAAAATACACTGCATGCTTGTAATATTTAAAATGTGATAATTAAAAGTCACTAAATTCAAGAGGGGAAAATTAATCTTACCACTTTGTACCAGAATGCCCAAGAACTAGGGGACTTGTTAATCGTTTTTAAAGTTCAGGAGGAACAGTATATACGTGACACAAAAACAGCTGTCTGTACTTACAGGAATGTAGACATTCTATTATGGTTGTAGCATCAATGAAGTATCCTCCACAAAGCACGCACATTAGGTGGGGATTCAGCTCTGTGATCTTGATTCTGGTTGTTCGATGCATTTCTGCTCGATAAAAGATCCTGTAAAACACAGACACATTGGCCATAATTTAAAGAAAGAGAATCAAGATTATCTCTAACTCCTAGTTAGCTGCACACTCTGAAACAAGAGTTCGTAAAACCCATTTAACACTGTATAGCTGAACCATTCCTACGTTTCCTACAGAAGGAATTTACTGATCAGATGTGAATAAATTCTACTGACATGGTGCAAAAGAATCCAACTAAATTTACTTCTGGTCTCTCAGGTCATCCCTGGAGGGGGATGAAACGGTCTGCAGAGGGGGGCTGGGAGCAGAGCTCATTGGGGTCTCCCGCTTCCATTTGTCCTCCAGGCTAGCAGCCCCAAGGCTGCTGCTGCACACACCAAACAGACATCACAGATATTTACCAACCACTAGAGCTTGTTCCAACTTTCCGGATTTATTGTAAAACTTCCTCGCGGATCTTCAGTTGAAAATCCCGGGGTTCTTGTTGTTTTAGACGGCTCAAGCAACCAGAACCTGGCAGGTTTTTACGAGATACAAAAGGAAAACAAATTCTGCTCTATCTGCATCCCTGGAATTTCCGGAGCTGGGTGCCGGCTGCAGGAGGAGCACCTCGTGTCGGCCTCGGCTGGGGCCTGGGCGCGGAGGACGCTTGGGGGCCGGGATGAGAGGGGCGGAACCAGTGGCGCCCCGGGCTCCTCTCTCGGAACTCGCCTCAGTCAGGGTTTCCATAGCAACTTACACTTACACTTGGCATCCGGCCACCGCTGCAACTCGGCGCAGCGCAGCACAGCCCGGAGCCTCCGCGGGTGTGCGGGCGCCCGGCGGTGGCGAGGGCTCGGGGGAGGGGCG